CACACACACACACACACACACACACACACACACACACACACACACACATCTGCCACCCTGCATGGGGCTCACTGTGGCCATGAACAGCTGCAGCTTTGTGCCTTCAGAAACAGGAGGCAGTGGCCTCCGCTACTCCAGACACCCAGGCGCTGCCTGCAGCCCCAGAGTTAACGCGCTAGGCATCTTGGGCTATTTCTTGTTTCCCACACATGGCCTCTGCTACCTGGGGGCTCCACTCAAGGGGCCTGGGATTTGCAATGAGAGCTGGGGGGAGGGGCAGGTCACGTTCATGCACACACAGCCCTTCATTCACTCTCAGTCTCTCATTCACATTCATTCACTCACTCAACTCTCATTCTCTCACACTCATTCATCATTGGTTCGCTCACCATCCATTTGTTCATTCACTCACTCATTTATTCACTTACCCTCATTCACTCACTCAACACATGCATTCACTCATTACTCCTTCATTCATTCACTCACTCATCCTTCAGTCATTAACTAATCACTTACTATTCACCCATTCATTTATTCACTGCTCATTTACTCTGCCCAGTGAATTCCCTTTTCCTGGGAGCTAACCCTGGCTAGTCCCCTTTCCTGCTGTTGGGTTGACCCAACTGACATGTCCAGAGGGGGCTCCAGGATTCCCTCTTGCCGAATATATGCCATAGGGGATGTTCTGCCTTCCCTTCCTTTTATCACATACTGTAGGTTTCTGGCTTTGGTGCTCAATTTGCAGACAAATCCTTGGACTTCAGGAAGATCAGGAGGGATGATGCTCCTAAGATCAGGACTCATAGCACGTACCATCCGAGCATCTACTCTGTGTCTGGCCTAGTGTGGCTAGTGAGTCCCCTTGACAAGAAAACAAGGGACACTACCTGAAGGGGGTCTTGAATAATGGGGACAAGGCTGTAGGACATTCAAAAAACCACAGAAGACTAGGCACGGGGACCACAACACAAGGCTAGTGCCATGGATGCTGCATCTGGACCATGAGTACTGGGATTGAACCTAGACAGCAACAAGGGTGATATACCCTGAGCTATTCTGTGCCAGGTAGTGCCAAGGTCATTATGTCCAAACTGCCCTCCTTCACCTCCATCTGACCTTCTGGCTTTGTCCTTTTTTTTTTTTTTCCTTCGTTTTTCGAGACAGGGTTTCTCTGTGTAGTTTTGGTGCCTGTCCTGGATCTTGTTCCGTAGACCAGGCTAGCCTTGAACTCACAGAGATCCGCCTGGCTCTGCCTCCCGAGTGCTGGGATTAAAGGCATGCGCCACTGCTGCCCAGCTCTGGCTTTATCATGAACTCATGCTTTTCTCAGAGGAAATCCCTCCCAGCTCCACGCTCTTATCCTTCTAGTCTCAAGTCCACTTCCTGAAGAAGCAGGTGGCCTAGCTTCAGCCCCCACCCCAGAGCTCCCTCCCCATCAGCCCCAAGAGAAGGCTGCA